AGCAGTGAATAGTAGTAGTAGCAGCAGTAGAGATAGCAGTAGTAGTAGTAGTAGTAGTAGTAGCAGTAGTAGTAGTAGTAGTAGTAGTAGTAGCAGTAGCAGTAGCAGTAGCAGTAGTAGTACTAGTCGTCGTCGTAGTCGTACAGTAGCAGCAGTGAAGTGTAGCAGTAGTAGTTACAGGAGCAGGAGCAGCAGCTCCCGCGGCAGCTCTCGTCGTCGTGGTGATGGTGGTTCTGGTGATGGTGGTGGTGGTGGTGGTGGTGGTGGGAGTGGCAGGGGGAGGAGGGAGGAGGGAAGAGGAGCAGGGAGGAGGGAGATTGGCAGCTTCTTTTTTCCAGTTGGCAGCTTCTTTTTTCCAACTAGCCTCGGCCTGTGCAGACTGCTCTGAATTTCAATCAAGCTCAGCTTTCTTGCTACAGGCAGCGAGAGTTCGGTTTTTCCGGAGGCCTATGACAAGCGAATGCGCGCTGATGCAGAGAGCTATGATGCGCTGGAGGCTTTCTATCAACCCGAGTCCAAAAGGCTGCCTAAACCCTCGGAGTGCTCAGGTATTTGTAAGGGGTTCATGCAGTTGGGAGCGTCCCGCTTTGGATTCCAAATAGTAATCCTAAGGACCCCAAAACAAGCCCTAAGTTCGAAAACCCCTCTTGCTCATGCTGTCGCACAATACTTCAATCCCCTGAACCCCTGTGGGCTGTACTTAGAACAGCTAGTGCATGGCACGTCCCCGAATGCATGCCCCGAAGAGAGGTTATGTCCGAACCGGGGGTTCCTTGCCTTCCTCGGCAGACTTGAGAGGGTTTCGCTGAGGGTACCATAAGTGTCCTAAAATGTGACAAACAACCCTAAACCCTGGCAAGAACAGGCGGAACTGCGAGACCTCGAGGCTCGCTTTGAGCAGGCCGGTATGGGTGAGGCTTCCTTGTGTGGGAATAAAATGACTGTTGTTTGCAGGAAGTTAAACGGATTAGGGTACCTGGAGCTGAGGCTCATGGAGGCTGTAGTTTCTTTGAGCTGTTGTCTTCTTCAGGGCGTCGGCCTTGGGCCTTGAAGTGTGTGGGCATTGCAGATTGGAGTGGCGCGCTGTGGTTGGTGCCGTAGGAAAGGGTGTGCAAGCTGAAAGTTTGAGAGTCCTCGTGGTTTCACTTCGTGGTATCATAGGCGCTTATGCTAAATTCAACCGTCTGGGAGTGAGTTGAATGCTCAGGACATCTCGGGCGACACTTTCTGCAGGGGATCAGTATAGCGAACGGGAGAGGTCAGGATTGCTGGCGGCAGCCTGCATTGCTTCTGAGATCAGAGATTAGCTTCTGGTTGATTTCCCGAATAGTGTTAAGGCTTCCTGCATCAGGAATAAAGGGTGGTGGTTGGTGTACGCAGCAAGCTTCGGAAGTGGTGCTGTGCACATGTTGGGCTCATGCCCCACTGTTTACAGTGTCCCGCTCGCATCCCATCCTCCGGGACGTGATATGTTCTTGGCTTCGGTTTTTGTTTTCGAAACACATGTTCGAAGTCTTGGCAGGGCCGCACTACCCGCCCTGTCGGGCTCGTCTATCTTGTCGTTAAATCCCGCCAGTACACAGGTAGAGCGATCTTGACAAAGAATCCTGGCAGGGCCACGCCTTGGCGCTTTGTGCTCTGCTACCGCATCCTCGCATGCACAGTCCCGTTCACATCTGCATTCGTGCCCCGGTCAACGTGCTGGAAGTCTCTAGGTCCGTCAGCGTCCTTCGCGTGGATTCTGAATCCAGCCAGTACCTGGGATGGGAGGAGCGCTTTCTAAGGTGGTGCCTTCCGTCTTACCACTGACTTCATGGTCGGTCCCCTGGTCGTCTTGGTCTGCCCCTGGTGGTCCTGATCGTGGTGGTCGTTCCCGGTGGTCCTGGCTGGCAGCGGGCCTGCGCGCTGCGTGGTCTTGACCAGGTCTTGACCAATCTTTGACCTATGCTGGCATAATGCTGGTCCCTTCGTGTGTTCTATGTCTGTCAATGTCTGTCAGCAACCCTTGTGCCCCGAATGCTAGAGCTATCAGAAGCTGCGCTGCCATTGGTACAGCTGGTCGAAGGCCCGACACAAAGCACAGACCGCCCTGGAGAACCAGGAGCACAAGCAAGAGAAGGACTAGCGCAGCATCGCTGGGCTTCGGATGAGTCTTGACAGTAAAGGGACCTGGGAGCTGAAGTATGTGGCGGTTTGTGGGCGTGGAGGTCCGGGATTCACACCTAGGTGTCTGAGCATGCAACTTCGAACCCGAAAGGGAAAAGAAGAGTCAATTTCGCTGACCCACCCCTTGACCCAAACCAGCTCCGTTACCTGGAAGCATCTGCGCCTCCAATCGTCCTTCAACCTGTTGGATTCAACAGTTGCGTGCTGCAAATCAGCTTCGATAAAGCTTGAACCTCCGGAGCTGAGATCCATTGTGCAGCATCCATGGAAGCGCAGAGGAAGTGCATCGCCGACTGAACGAGAAAGATGCAGAGGCAAATCCCAGCAAGATATCGCTGCACGATGCTGGAGAGCAGTTGCAGTTGCAGTTGCAGCAGTTCGTTGCAACAGATCCACAAGTTGAAAGATCTCATTGCATTCACGCAGAAAAGATTCGATGCCATGCTGGGAACTCAGGTGTCAGACTTGCCATATGTGCTGGGTTCCAAAAGCTCATGGTTTTGAGGTTAACGGGTCATGTCTTGCCGAGGCTGGATCAGGAAGGAATGGAGCAATCGCTCGAGATTTCAGAAATCAAGAAGAAGAATCAGGAGGCGAGCAGCACTGAAATATGAACACCGCTTGTGCTGATCACAAGCTTTGCTTTGCAAGGAGTTGGAGCAGCAGCATCTAGTGGAGTACAAGTTAAAGAAGGACCAGGATATGTTGATGCACCTTGGCCAAGAATCGAAGACCTTGATAGTGCACCTGCTCTACTTGTACGTGTACTTCTGAATGAAGGGGTCGTTCATTGAGTCTCAGTAAGTCTGCGTACGAGGGTGTGTGTGTGTGTGACAAGCCATGTCTGAGTGTATGCACGGATGTATGTTTCATATGTAAGTAGAAGGCCTGATTCTGGAGATTACCGAGACAATTTGCTCAATTTGTGCTGTCCCGAATTCGAGGCACTAAAAAGGTATGCTCTGTTTGATGGTGGCGACTGAGGGTTCCTTGAGGATGCGATTTGCTGTCTCTGCGTATCTTGAACCTGAAGCACCTGTTTTTGTCGTGCATGTCCGGAAACACAAAAACATGAAGAAGGCTTCGAAGGCATGAAAACCGGAGAAGCCAATTCCAAGGAGAGGCTTGGAGATGATGGAGAAGGCACCGGCGCTGGCCCTTTTCTTGATGGGTTTTGGTTCGCGGTGCCAGGATCGGGACCGCATTGCCATGGAGCAGCGCGAAGCCAGCGCTGCGCTCCAAGAGGGAGCTGCCTGTGGACTTTGCCTTTTGTGGCCGCTGGGTGCCCGTCGTGAACTCCCGAGGTGAACATCAGCAGCCTGCGCGCGGAGGCCGCCGCCGGAAGAGCGGGGGGGGGGGGCGGCGGACGGCCGTTTTGCCATGGAAACTCTTCCGAAGGCTGAGACGATGAAGCGCGAGGTGACGCTCCTGAAGGCTTTGGCGGGGAGTTGGGCAGCTGGCGATGGCGGGGGGAGCCGCCGAGTTTCTCAGGCCGAGCGCAAGGAACGAGAGGCCACGCTGCGCGACAAGGAGATGGAGATCGGAGCGCACAAGCTCAAGGCCGGAGCCCGTGAGGCGCTGCCACGGCGACGGCCACGGCGAGCCCTGTTTAGGTGCAGACGCTGAAGAAGTTCAAGCACGTTCTGGACTACCGCTTGCGAGAGGCGACAGCCAGAACGCAGGGCAGCTGCATTCGTCTCACTCCGCTTGCCAGGTGACAGAGTCCTTGAAGCCCAAGGAGGACATGATCGCGCAACTCCACCTGCCGCACCGGCTCGCAGGGTTCAAGAGTGGCAAGATGAAGGTGGTATTCGCCAACACGGAGGGCTGACCAAAGGAAGCACATTGTTAAGAGGGAACGACGAGAGCACAAAGGAGGGAGGAAAGAGTGGTTCAAGTTCAAGGTGCCACAAAATGAGGTTTCGGTGTCGGAGGCAGCAGAAGATGCAGAAGAAATTCAAACCGGGGAACGTGTTTGCCTTGAAGCATCTTGAAGCTCTTCTGCAGCCAGAGCGGGTGCTGACTGCCAGGCAGCTCTCGGCTCTGGAGGAGGAATTTGAGCGGCAGCTGGAGATCCAGAAGCAGATGGTGCCCCATGCTCAGAGCTTCCATGTCTCGTCGCCGGCCGATGTGCAGGAGGGTGTTCTGGAGACGAAATCTGCTCAAGTGCTTCAGCTGTCTGCAGAGGCCAGGCGTGGAACACGGTCGCGTGCCTGCAACAGTCAGCTCATGCTCATGGCACGAGGCTGAGAAGCAGAAGGAGATCTTGAAGCAGCCGGGGCCCCGGGGCCAGGGGAACAGGGCCCCCCCTTAGTCTTAGTCTTAGTCCTTTATGGATTCGTAGAGCTGAAGGCGCCAGCGGACCATCTTCCGGTACACCGCCGACCTGTTGGAGTTAGCCAGCGACCAGGCGCGCCCAGCCGCGCCCAGCCGCGCAGCGTGGAGCAGCGCCGGGCAGCCTCTCCCGTCGAGGACGTGCGCAACTGGCACATCGGGCTGAAGAAGATCTGGCGCGACCACGTGAACCCTGAGACCTTCAAGAAGGACGATAGCAGAGCGGCAAGTCTGGTTTTTACGGGTTGGCACGGATCCGAAGCGGTGACCAGGACGAGGGGACAAGTCTCCCGATGCAGGAACTCGGCCGGCAGATTCAGGCCAGCCGCCAGTGGGCTCGCAGGTCGCCTGAAGGGCCTGGGATCGGATCGGGCTTCTACTCACCGCTTGAAAGTCTGAGGGCTTCGCTTTACAAAAGGAGAAGCCATAGTCTTTGAAGATCTTTGACTCTCCCAGTGGTCCTCCGCAGTTTTGCAGACACTACGGTGGCGGTGGACACTCTGATGTCCACCAGCCTCTTGGGAAACACAGCCTAAGTCTGCTAGGATCAGACGGACATGTCAATGATCAGCCAACTGACTCAGCTGTGCTAAGCAGCATGGAACCAGAAGCTGCGAATCCGTGGACCACGTCGAAATGACCTGCCTCCAAGCAGTTTCAGCAAGACACAGCAGCACAAGTGCTAAGTCAAGTAGCATGTAGCGAATGACCCTCCTGGCCAATGTTGCCGCCAACGATGTCCTTATTTGCAGTGTGCTGTCCGGCCTTACTGGTCGAGACCTTGCGTGTCTGGAGATGGTGAGTGCCAGCTTTTTGGTAGAGCTGACGGCTTCAAAGCACTGGGTGAAATACGTCCAGGGCCTCTCGCAGCTTTGCTTGGCTGGGGATTGCCTGGAGCTCCTGGAGCCTGGGCCGGAACGGCCGGAACGCTCGAAAGTGAAGGCGCTCTTCTGCAAGCTGGCCTCCTTGCTCACGCACACAGAGGACCCACCCCTTCCCGAGCCGAAAGCGCCAACACGAGTCGTTTTCGGGTCTTCGTCGGATCTTCAGAAGTTGCTGGGTTCTCGTTGAGGAGCAGTAACTGATCTTCATAGGGTTTGAAGACATGAAAACGATGCTTTCCTGTGGCTTCTTCGAGCTCAGAGTGAGCTGAGGTTGGAGCGGAAGCTAGAAGCGGCCGAGCAGAAGGCCAGGCAGGCGAGGCGCGACGGGCTCGCGACAACGGAGGCCATGATCAAGTGCTTCCAGTTCAGCGATGGGAGTGTGAGTTCACCCGTCTCCTTTCGCTTGGGGCTAACGACCCAGATATATCTGCTCCAGTTAGGCTGGACGACTTCCGACGATGTGGTGCTGAAAGTGGCGCTGCATTCTGAATCCGATGAGATTGTCCAAGCTTCTGAGACCCAGAATTTGCTGTCCATCAGCATCTCGACGATTGGAACAGGTCCGTATTTCGCTTCCCGTGATACCATTGTGACTCCGGATGAGCGCTGGTGGAGCACCAACGGCATCTGCACCATGCTTTCTGTCGATGAGCTTATGAGAAGCCTCTCCGCGGGGCTCTGGTGTGTTGTCTGTGTATGTCAACACCCTGATAATGCACCACAGCCACCATCCCGACGCGCCACCAACGTGCTGGAAAGCCTGTCACTTCAGCCCCTTGAAGCTGACTTGGCACCAACTTTCACCTGAGTTTTTCGTTCTTCTCCGTGCCACAACGTGCACACAAACGGTCAGAAACGCACATGCAGCAAACAATTGCAAAGATTGACAAAGAGGTAACGAGGGTTAAGAGTTTCCTGAGCCTGGGCTGGCGCCGCCAGTTTTCCATGTCTGTCCACTTGGGCGACTGCGTGATGGCCGAAAGGTACAGCGCGTATGATCGCCTTGAATTATCTGACGGTTTCAAGGCAATTTTTGCACGAAGTGGACATGTATAGAGCCATTTTCCTTACGTGTAAACCTGAAAAAGGAGAGAATGTCTGCCCGGCCTTGCTTGCTTCCTTGCAATCTGCAGCTCTGCCCTTTCGCCGCGGTGCCCAGGTCATGGAGCGTAAGGCGTCCATGCTGGCTCTGCGCAGCAAGCGGGGCGAAGCCACCTGCAAGGTGCCAGGGAAAAGCTGCCGCCATCGGCAATGGAAAACGATCAGCGCAAGCAGTCCTTTGCATCCCGAGCTTCTGTAAGAGCCTGCTTGGAGGCAGACACACGACGGAAAACGCAGGAGAATTCCTTACTGATCCACGAGCTGGAAGAGCCCATGCCTTGGCCCGCAGCTTTTCTGCTCTATTTTGACTGCTTCTTTGCAGAGGCTCCGGATCGAGAAGAAGTCTCTCCAAGCCGAAGTGCAGGACATCGTAGCGACAAGTACAACGTAGCGGCGTAGTGTAACCTCAAGCTCTGGTTGTGCCTTCCGGCGCCGGCAGGAGTTGGAGCTGCAAGTGCATTTGGCCGAGCAAAGAGCAGAGAACAAGGAGGTGGGATTCTGGGAGTAGGCGTACCGTCCTGGCCTCGTCTGACGTCTGATGGCTGCAGATCCGGAAAGCTTTGCCGGGAAAGTCTGGGTGCTGCTGGCATGTTCGAGGAATCCTCTTGCACCCGATGTGATGCAGCGATGTAAGCAGGCTGGAGCGAAGCGACAGCAATCCCAGGCAAGTGCCACAGGCGGGCCGTCCCTCATTACTGCATGGGGAGTCTCTCTTGGTGTGGGCCTTCCGAGCAAGGCCGCCCAAGGCCTTTTCGACGAGGCACAAAGCTCAAGCCCTCAGCTCACATGACACTGTGGCCTTCGCAGGCTCCGGCCATCCACAGAGGGCCAAAGGGAAGCAAAGTGAGCAGTGCTCCAGTCGCCAAGAAGCATAGCGCCCACAAGTCCCAGGAAGAGCCCGGAACCAAGCTGCGAGAGGAAGTATTATGCCGCCAGCGAAGCGGACTCCGTGAGGCTGCGCAAGGCGAAGCTGAGCCGCAAGGTGGCCGAGCAACGGGAGCAGCAGCGACACCAGCAGAGGTGCGATGACTGCTCCGTCGTTCCCCTTGGTAGCGGAACGAGCTCATTTATGCATGTAGGGTGCGAGAAGAGCTTGTGCCCCAGGAGCTTGCATCTCAGCCTCCAGATTGCTCATGGCGAGAGAAGCGGTGGATCCCTTCAGAGAGTCTCTGAGGTTGGACAGCCTCATGAAGCGGCGGACTGAAGAGGAGCATCTTAGGCGCGAGAGCCGGATCGAGAAGAGGGAATTAAGAAATGCTCTTAACACAACGCGAGGTCTACCAGCTCAGCGGGTGGCTCCCAAGCTTCGAGCGGGCCTCCCGCCGGCGGTGCACTGTCAGTTGCGGGAGCCTCGACGTCTCACGGTCTGCTGAGTGCTGTCTCCAGAGGGTCTGTGCCAAGGTCCGATTCCATCAGAAGGGATCGCCTGCCGGCTCTGTGGATTCCGTCTAAAGCAGGTAAGTTGTTTTTTAGCAAGCTGGGAGACCTGCCGGAGCCCTCCGTGGCATAGCTTGGGCTTTGGAGCTTTGAAAGTCTCACTCGCCACATGTTAATGCTTCCGCGCCAACAGCGACATCCCGCTACCGAGTGTACAGTGCAGATCTTGCGCAAGGCGCAGCAAAGTCTAAGACTTTGCTGAAAGCACGGGCTTCCAAGCCGGTTGCTCACGTGATGAATTTGTCTGAGACCAGACGCCAAGGACAAAGTGCAGTGCCAGATCGGCAGGGATGAGGTCTCGATACGAGGTCTCTGTTCTTCTCGACTCTAGACTCTCTAGAGAGCACGCTGAAACCTGTTGTCAAGCTTGTGCAAGAAGTTCTGAACACGCTTTCTTCCAGCATTGCAAGATTTGCCGCTGGGGACTCCCGGAGCTGCTGTGCTCCAGGCTCGGTTGCTCAGCAGGATCAATTGTTACGGCGTTCATAAGTGTTGCAGGTGTCATTTTGCCTGGAATGAGCGCTTGCTCCGGATTGCTAAAGATCCTGCTGCTAGAACCGCCGACCTCTGGGCTTTGTAGCCTGGTGTGCATGCGACTTTGAGGCGCGCTATACAGCACTAGCAACCCTCAAAGCAAAGCAAAAGAGGACTCTAGGCATGCTCCTTTCGCGGAACCCAAGGCCTAGTCTGCGGTGTCATGGGCATGGCCGGCATGGCATAGATATCTCCATGTTCCGAAAGAGCCTCCTGGACTTCTCGTGGCTGCCCTGGGCGGCTGGAGGGAGCCTCTGGAACCGCCGACCGGCGACGTGTGAGAATCCACAAAGACAGCGCGTCCTCGTGGTCGGAGCGGGGCTGACGGGCTGCCTGGTGGCCAACCTGCTCAGGTCAGGCTACGAAGAACATCGCACAGCGACGCACGCCGTAGTGCTGCAACCTTGCTGGCATCCGCTCGCAGTCGAGGCGGCAGGGACCGCCTGGGCTGGAGATCGAAATCTGGGAGCGCGCCACCTACCCGTCAGGCCAGCAAGTTGGTAGCATCGGCGTAGTGGGGCGTATAGGCCATGGACCAGTGGGGACTGGCACAGGTCGCTTCGGCGCCGCTTTCTCTGGGAAGACTCCGCGAAGTGGTTGGTCTGGTGGCCAAGGCGGATGGGCCGACCTCGGAGCGCAGGCCTGTTGCCTCCTCCACCGGAGCCGCTCTGCGTTTTTTTGCATCTGCTCTTTACCTTTGGCAGGTGCTCTCGGCGGTGGAGGTGGACTCCGGGCATCCAAATGCCGGGGCCACTGGACACAACGTTACGGCTTCTGACGTGGCCGCTTGTTGGAGGGAAGTGCAAGGAATGGTGGAAGAGGGGCTGCTCGAGCGAGTCCCCGAAGAGATGCTAGCAGAGACAGAGGAAAGGATGAAATACGAGGGCTTGTGGGCGCACTTCTGGTGCAGATGGGGCCTCGGCTATCTGTTGAGGAGGTATATTTCCCAGGCCAATGCGCACCTGCGCCTGGGAGTGCGAGCCGACGTTGCGTTTGAGAGAGGTGGGCAGGTGACTGTGCGCGGCAGCGCACGTGTCTGTGGTGGAGCATCGTCTGTGCAAGCTCAGGCAGATGTGGTCATTCTAGCTGTCCCAGCACCTGATGCAGTACAGGTGGTGCAGCTGCCGCAGAAGGTTGCAAGCATCATGTCAGGTATCGAGTATGACAGCCGCACGGCCGTCGCTCTTTTCTTCGACCCGGTTCTGCAGGAGCCTGTCGCCCGTGCCTTTCAGGGGCTCGCAGAAGTATCCCTGGATATCCATTCAAAAGAAGAATTGCACCTGGTGGCCTGGCAGAATGTCAAGGACAGGAGCTTCGCTCATGGTGAGATCGTTCGACTGGTGGTACATTCCGCGAACGGGATTTCACTGGACGGGCCAGGTCCTGCTTTAGAGGCCCTTGCAGGCATGCTCCAACTGTCAGCTGCTTTGCTTGAGCATCTTCTTCTCGACTGGAAAGTGGTGGATTGGAAAACTTGCCAGATGGTGCGGCCCTTCGAAAGTCTCCAGACCGACCTCGAGCTCTCGGAACCAGCGTTGTTGCTTGGTGACAGCAACGGTTCGATCATCCTCGCAGGCGATTACTGGTGCCAGAGCAGCTTTTTGGGCGGCTTCTGCTCGGCAAGCGCCGCAGCTCGCCAAGCCCTGGCAAGTCTGAGGCGTTGACCACCGGAGACGTCTTCGCAGGGTCAGGCGAAGCATGCCTGCCCGATGGATGATGGATGGGCATTCGCGAAGAAAGAAACATAGACTCACGTTCCGTCGGTGGTTTGGCTTTTTTGTTAGCCTCGCTGATGGTGCCTGCGTGTGGCACTGCTGCGCTCGGCTCCAATGCTGAAGTATCATACTATTGGTTAGCGGGGGTACATCAGCAGCGGACACAATGGACAGCCAGTCAGGGCAACACAGCGCACGGCGCTTCACAATCGATTACCGCGGTGTTTATGGAAGTAAAATTATGGACCATGGATGCACGATGTTTTTTTTGCTGACTCTCGACAGTGCAGGATCTTGCATAAATATGTCCACAGCAGTCGTGTGAGCAATGACGGATCGCTTCGTTTGGCGCAGGCTCTGGAAGGCACAACTTGTTAGTAGAGAGACATCACCGCATGTAACTCGTGCAGGCCAACGCGACCTTTCTTGACTAGTGTCAGCCAAGGGTGCTCGTCGCACAGGATCCAGCCACCAAGGGCCGTCAAGACGTGGTGTGTCCTGGTTGGTGTCCGGCGGTCGTGATCGTCTTGGCTGACTTGGTGGTGGTGGTGGTCGTCGTTGTCTTGGTGTCTTCGGGGTGTACTTGGGGCGTGGTCGGCTGTCTACGTTAGGACAATCCTGTTTGACGGAGTCTTTCCTCGGTATTTGTAAGTTGCACAGTGAAGTGGAAGCGTCTTACTTATAGAAGACCGAAAGGCCTGGCTCCTTTGCTTCCTCTTGCAGGCTGGCTGCCAGACATTTTTGACAGGGCAGCTGTTGAATTCTCTGCAGAGTGTCGAGTTGGCACTGTTTTGGGCAGCTTGCCTGTCCTGAGGCTGCACCTGTCAGCGCAGCAGGTGGGCACGCAACGCCCGATTGCCAGATTGGCATGCTGCTGCCGTGATGTCAGGCAGTGAGAGGGAGTTCAGTTCCATTTCATGTGGGGCTGACTACACCCTGGCCGTCACGACGGAGTGGCTCTCAGAATGCAGGATGTTGCATTTTGTCAGTGTGTCAACCTGCTTATCTTAGGATGGCACGCCCATAGCATGGGGGTTTCCACTAAGTGAGCGGCCGAAGGCGCTAGCATTTCTTCCGTGCACTTGCCTTTTCCGACGGCATGATGTCTTGTCAGTCTGCCCTGAAACCCAGCTCAAGCACCGTGCAGGAAGGTCATTCCAAGACCATGTCCGGAGTCTTAAGGTTGGCCCGTAGCATGTGTTGACATGCCAATGACATCTGGGAATCGCCCGCGCACCCTCAATCTCTCAAGCGCGCCCGTCAACCCCAAGCCCAAATCTCCTTACCAAGCCCAAAAGCCTGTAACGCGTGAAACTGTCGGCTCGCGCTTTGCTGCCGAAGCTGAAGATGGCATGGCGATCTGCGAATGCCTGGAGGGCACATGGACGAAGATCCAGGAGCTTCTGTAGCTTGGAGACAGCTAAGTCAGCTAAGTGCTTCGGTCTTTTCGAGGTTGGAATTGGAAGTTCGTAACACTCGTACAGTGCAAGTATGTTGCAACCCTGTTCGGTGTTCTGATCCTGCTCCCAGACCTGGTGCTCAGTTGTTGGAGATGTGGAAAGTACTTCAAGCGACAGGCCCTCTTGGACCTTGACTTGAAAACCCCGATTCGAGGCTGGCTGCGGGCATCTCGGGCATTGCGAAGGCGACCGTGGATATTGCGTTTTGAATTAGTCTTTGGCCTTCATCCTGCGTAGACACAGAAATGGGTGAATGCCGAGCAGAGATGCTGAATGGCATTGCCAAGACCTGTCCTCAACGATTTCTGATCTCGGTCGCGGACTTCCCGAAGCCCTCTCGGAAGCCATCATCGCTTCGTGCCCCCTGAAGATTTTGGAGCCTTGCGAGGCAACGCATCATGACTTGCTCGATTTGGTTACCGAGCTGGAGAGCATCCAGGACGGTGTGCTGTGCCCCCACGACCGAGTTCCGTGTGGCAGAGACCGTATCCAGGAAAGCCGAGTGTCGGTGGACCAGGGGTTGCTCGCAGATCTCATCCGTGGCTTGAGCTATGCCAGCTATGCTCTGACTTGTCTTGTGGGGATAAGAGCACTGAGAGGTTGGGGATTCCCCGTTGTACTATCACGAGAATGATATTATGGATCCTCAAGCCCTGAAAAGCGGCTTTCTGTCAATGATGATGGTTGAGAGGTGTCGCCATGTTGAAGAATGTGATATTGTGGAGATTCTGATGTGGATTGCATTTGATGCTTATGGTGCTGATAGGTGTGCCTTCCTTTCCTCCATTGATTGACACGCTTGTATTGACTTGCGATTACTATTAGAGGTCCAAACTACTCGCATAAACAGCAACAATATACCCTTTCTGTAGGCCCTGTATGTTCACATTATATATGGTGTAGCCTGTGATGGGGTCGGGGGGCGCATAGGGTGGGTGAGGGCACCGGTCGGTACTAAGGGACTTGGTCCCGACAAGCACCCCAGTTTTAGGGTGACAGTACCCTATTGCGACATTCGGCACCCTTTCCACGGCACTTCGACGTGCTGGCCACTCATACATGTGTCAATAAGTCTACTTAGTGTTGATGGAAGGCAGTCCGGGTTGTTTCATTGCATGCTAGTGGCTCGTTTAAGGTTGCAGTGTGTCTCCCTGGTCCCATTGCCATGCACCTAAACACCGTTGGCTTTTTTCCAGCTGGTAACGGGGCGCCCTGCAGCTGAAACTCGCGCTAAGCGCCACCGGCTTGTTCCAGGTTGTGTGTCGCCTGGACAGCTACGCACGACATGCCATGGTCTCTTACGCTTCCATCTTCCTGCTGCTACTGCTGCCTTGCTTACTCTGCCTTGCATGGTGCCATGACGGTTTCGCAGCCCCATGCCCAGTTTGCGTCTTATATAGATCTTTGCGGTGGAGACAGCGGCTGCGTCTCCTTGCTGGGAGATGACCTGTCTCTCTCAGAGCCCCTTTAGATGACGCACGTCCTAACGTTAGTTACGGGCTTGGCCCGAGCCTCGCCTCCGAGGCAAGTACGACTCTCAGATGCAGAACTCGCTGCCCCCACGGCACCAAGCGCGGTCTGCAGCTCGGCTGAGGCTTACAGGGTTTAGGGTTCAGGGTTTAGGGTTTGCAGGGTTTTCGGTTTTGTTGAAGCACGGTTGCGAAGCGCTTGTCGGGAGATGAGGAAATCAACCGCAGATCGTCTCTGGCAAGTTTTGCCCGAGATCCAAAACTTAACCATAGTTCGTAATGCTTCTTGTCACTGTGGTAGGAAGAGGATGTTCTAAAACACACTTAATCCCAACCTTGAGTCCTACAGACCAGGACTACTTGCCCTTTGATCTGCCTGTGGACGAGCGGGAGTACAAGATGCTTCCGCTCCCGAGCGAGACCCTCAGGCCCATCCTGGAAGGTGCCAACTGCCCGGGGATTTAGGGACATTTAGGGTTTAGGGTCGACAGGCTTCGGCATGCGAGATTTGGGCACACTGTTGCAGGCACCACAGCCTCCGAGCTGTTGGACCATCTGAGGGACGAATTTGATGTCCCACTGCATCCGCACTTTGTGCTGCGGATTCTGGAATTGTCTATTGACCTCTACCAGAAGCGCAACGAAATGCATGGTCCGGTCATGAAGCTCCAGGTGCCCGGTGGCTTGGACATGGACGCAGGAGCAGTGCAGGTACATGTGGCCGAAACTGGCCGAGCTGGGCCATCCAGGACTCTGTTGGGGACGCTGTGTAGCAGGCCTTGACAGGGTTTACGCGGACGAGGGGTGTGCTGTAGTCTGCCTCAAAAACCCTCAAACCGCCGAGACCAACGCTCGCGGGCCCGGTGAGCGTGTCCAACCCGGCTGTTGCAGTGTGAGACTGCGCGAGAGGGATTTCTGGTGGGGGGGGGGTCTGTGAAACCACGAGAGCTTAAACCGCCCGTTCCCATGCAGAGCTCCCGGCCACGTGCTGCGGGAAGATCTAAACAGCCCACCAAGCTTACCCCCAACAGACAGGATTGTCGTGCTGGGTGACACCCACGGGCAACTGGCTGATGTACTTTGGGCAGTTTCTGAGCTGGGACTTCCGACTGAGAAGAATGTGTTCGTGGTCAATGGTGATGTTGAGACCTTGTTGCAGATTGGGGTTTCTCAAAATCGTGGGCGCATCAGGGGCCTTCCTGTTGATAGCTTTTCACGTGTTCTTAGTATCACTAGATTAGCTCGAGTCCTCAGAAAACAAGACTCCTAGGAGCCTCGCCTGCAACTTATCCGAAAACTTAAACGCGGCTGCGGCAGCTAAGAGCCTCACGTGTCGGAGATTCATCCTATACTAGGGGTTCCTCCAGGTGGCATCTTCTGCACCGTTAAATTGAACTCAATCCGCTCCCGACTCCTTTGTCGTGCTGTAGCCGGTGGCACATTTCTCAAAAGCACGGACTGCTCAGTCTGAGACGAGGCAGATCGCTGCGACTGGTCAACGGAGATCTTCATGCTGTTCCTCACGATCATGCTGCAGTATCCCAATGACCCTGTCGTTGTCATCAATCGTGGCAACCACGAGTGTATGACCATCAACGCCTCGAGGTGCGGGGGGTTTCAGTACGAGCTGCTTGAAAAGTATGGTGCCTCTTGGGGGCCCTATCTGCATGCATTGTTCGGTCGCCTCTTCTGCGTCCTGCCTGTTGCAACCTTGATCAACGACGTGGTTCTGGTCATCCACGGTGGAATCGGTCGAGATCCCGAGAATCAGCTCAACCATTTGCGGAACCTGGATCCAGAACTGCGGGAGGCCAGAGCCTGAACCCTGAACCCTATAAGAGGGTTCTAAACCCCTGGCTCTTGACCGTAGACTAGCACACTTTAATATTTGGATTCAGGTGTAGGACATGCTCTAAACACGGCACGGCGC